TTCCACCTGCTCGCGGTGGCTCTGTTTTGCCCCGCCATAGTGCTCGCGCCGAGCCTCCTCGCGCTCGCTCTCGCCGCGGTGGTGCCCGCCTTTGCCCTCCTCGAGCTCGTGCGCGTCGGCGCGCTGCCGCCGCTCGCGCGCCCGCTCGCCGCCTTCCTCGCCGCCTTCATCGACAGCCGCGACGCGGGCACCCTCGTACTCACCCACATCTACCTCCTCGCGGGCTGCGCCCTCCCGGTCTGGCTGCAGAGCGCGTTGCCCCCCCCGCCGCCGGCCTCTCGCGCGCCCCTCGCCGCCGCCGCCGTCCGCGGCGCGCCGCTCGCCGGCGTGCTCGTCCTCGGGGTCGGCGACGCGATGGCCTCCCTCGTCGGCGTGCGCTTCGGGCGCACGCGCTGGCCGCGCAGCCGCAAGACGCTCGAGGGCTCCGCGGCCGCGGCCGGCTCGACCCTGCTGGCGCTGCTGCTGCTGCTGCACGTGAGCAGCCCGGACGGCGCGCCGGCCGATGCACGCACGTGGGCCGCCCTTGCCGGCGGCACTGCGGTCGCTTGTCTGCTCGAGGCGGCCACCGACCAGATCGACAACCTCTTCCTTCCCGTCGCCTATCAGACGTGGCTGCTCATCGCCGCCGTGCTCGAGCCGTGGTGCCGTGATTCGTCGTGCGGCGAGGGGTGACGCCCCCCCCGTCTCGCGGTTCGAGCTCGTATTTTAACTGAGAAATTTATGTCCTTCGTTAAAGAGAGAAAACTTTTGAGTTGGGCAGGTTCCAGCATCCACGATCCAGGACCAGCGGTACCTGTGTGATCTGTGATCTGTGAGGGTCCGCCCGCAGGCGCATTTTGTATACCGAGGCGGTGCCCGGTACCTGTGTCGACTAGCTGGCCTCACCCAGATACGCCAATCGCCATAGACGATAGTTAGAGCATAGTCGCGCTCCCAATATACGTGTGCATATCACTTTTGTGACGGTGTTACAACTTTTATTTTTGATCAACCACATCTCGATAACTACCATGTCGACGCTCATGAAAGTAGGCGCAATCAACTGGGCGCCCTCAAAGTTGTAACACCGTCACAAAAGTGATGCACGTATTTGGGAGCGCGACTGCACATCTTACCCCTTCTGCCCCTCCTGAGCCCTCCTGCGCCCCCCCAGGCTAGATGGAGTAGTGACAGATAAGCGTGGGTGCGTGCGTCCCGTGCCCGTGTCCTGCTACTCGAGCAGAAGGGTAGCAGATTTTTCTTCGCGATGTCCAACCCGCCGCGCCGCCGCTCGCGCCGCCTCGCCTCCGCCCCCACCGCCGCTCCCTCGCCAGACACGCCGCCGCCCGCCCGCCTGCTCGACCTTCCCAGGGAGCTCCTCGAGCGCGCCCTCTCCCGCTGCGACCCCGCCGACATCGCTCGCGTCGCGGCCGTCTCGCTACTCTTCCACGCCTCGCTTGCGGAGGAGGGCATCCGCTTGTGGGCGCAAGAGCGCGGCTTCGAGCTGCCGGCGCAGCCAGAGGGCGAGGGCTGCGCCGTGCGGTGGCTGTGCTGTTCGGCGCTGCTGCGTGAGTCCAACGCGCCGGCGAGGGTGTCAGCAGGCGAACGGCACAGCGTCTTCATCGACGGCGAGGGGCGGCTCTCGTCGTGCGGGTCAGCGGCAAGGGAGGGCGAGGAGGAGGAGGATGACGACGACGAGGAATTTCCAGGCCTTCTCGGCCACGGCGAGGGCGTGACGCAGCTCAACACGCCGACCCGCCTCCCGTCAGCTGGGTGACGAGCGCGCCGTGAGCGTGGCGGCTGGAGCATACCACAGCCTCGCCCTCACCGCCGACGGATCTGTGTGGAGCTGGGGCGGTGGATTCTCTGGCCAGTTGGGCCACGGCGACGAGCAGGACCAGCTGCTGCCCAAGAAGATCGAGACCTTTGCTGGCCGGCGCGTCGTCGCTGTGTCGGTTGGGCTGTACCACAGCATCGCCATCACTGCTGACGGCAGCGCCTGGAGCTGGGGCGATGGAGTCTACGGCCGGCTGGGCCACGGCGACCAGCAGGACCAGCTGCTGCCCAAGCAGGTCGAGGCCTTCGCTGGGCAGCGCGTCGTCGCTGTGTCGGCTGGAGCCCGCCATAGCCTCTCGCCACCACGGCCGATGGCGCCGCTTGGAGCTGGGGCCTTGGAGGCGCTGGCCGGCTGGGCCACGGCGACCAGCAGCGCCAGCTGCTGCCCAAAAAGGTCGAGGCCTTTGCTGGGCGGCGCGTCGTCGCTGTTGCGGCTGGAGGCATCCACAGCCTCGCCATCACCGCCGACGGCGCTGTCTTGAGCTGGGGCGATGGAGTCTCTGGCAGGTTGGGCCACGGCGACATGCAGGGCCAGCCGCTGCCCAAGAAGGTCGAGACCTTTGCTGGCCGGCGCGTCGTCGCTGTGTCGGCGGGAGATCGCCACAGCATCGCCATCACCGCCGACGGCGCCGTCTGGAGCTGGGGCTATGGAGCCTCTGGCCAGCTGGGCCACGGCGACCAGCAGAACCAGCTGCTGCCCAAGCAGGTCGAAGCCTTCGCTGGGCAGCGCGTCGTCGCTGTGTCGGCTGCGGAATACAATAGCTTCGCCATCGCCGCCGACGGCGGTGTTTATGCTTGGGGTCTGGGCGAACGCGGCTGCCTTGGCCACGGAGAGGACCTGTCGCACCAGCTGCTGCCCAAGAAGATCGAGCGATTCGGGGAGAGGGGGCTGGGGCAGTGAGAGGGTTTGCTCGCGATATTCTTATAGTGTGTTGAGCACGGGAAAAAGGCCATTTCTGATGCGCGCACCGCGGGCCGCACACATAGAGTCCCGCGCCTCGCCACTATGACGGCCACACGGCCGCAGCTCGTGTGCGTGTGTGGGGCGTGTGGCCGGCTCTTTGTCCGGAGTGAATACTCCAACGCGCTCGTCGGTGACGGTGTCCTCCAACCTGCGCCGCGCTCGGCGAACCTCGACAGCGCTTTCGGTGGCATGCAGCTCTTTGCGCCTGAAGCCTGGAGAGCAGCTCCTCGGCTGCTCACACACTCTGCACAGTTGACACAGCCTATTGTGCGGCTGCCACAGCTGTGACAGCGATGGGCTCGCCCTCACTGGCCCTCAGTCACTTGTGCTGCGGCTTGTGTGAGCGACACTGCTCGGCGACTGCCGGCACACTGTGAGACCATGGGTGTGAGGTTAAACCACGCTACCAGCGCTTGGTCACATCGGCCCCGAGGTCAGATCCTTCTACTCTGTTAGTGACAAGACTTGTCTACTCGCTGGAGCCGAGCAGGAGGGCCCGGCGCACAACCCCTGGTCAACTCACGGTCCACACCCCGTAGCACATTGCACAAATCGCCGTCTTCCATCCTGGATTCGCCTCTCGAAACTCTCGGAGATGTTCGCAGGTGGCGAATCAGGTGGCAAATAGGCACGTGGGCGACGCGTGGAAACACAGAGCCTTGCACCCGTTCGCCCTTCTCATCACTGCCCCGGCGCCCACGCCTCAACCGCTTCTTGGGCAGCAGCTGGTTCGACAGGTCGTCCCCGTGGCCTAGGCAGGCGTCCTCGCCCTTGCCCCAGCTAAAGAAGGCGCCGTCGGCGGTGAGGGCGAGGCTGTGGTGATCTCCAGCGGACACAGCGACGCACTGGCCGGCAAAAGCCTCGACCTTCTTGGGCAGCAGGTGGGGCTGCGCGTCGCCGTGGCCCAGCTTGCCATAGCCTCCATAGCCGGATGAAGATTCTGCCCCACACAGCCCCTTACCCCTTCACCCTCGCCTCGCTGCTTGGTGTTTCTGAACACGTAGACGACCACGCTGTGGGGGTTGTGTGCGGGTTGTGTCTGGGAGGGAGGGAGTGGGCGGCGCGTGCAGGTTGCTCACCCACGGCACCGGGCCGGTGCTTGCACTTTGAATGCCGTGGGGCTCCTGCCCGTGTCCGGGCGTGGAGATGCGAGGGTCGCCCCCCCTTGCCCCACCACTTTGTGTGTGTGGAGACGTTTACCTTACCTTACCTTTACCTTACCTGTGTTGGAGCCTGCACGTACTTTTCCGGCAAACAAAAAGGAAAACACAGGGTCCCCAGCACTTTCGACTTTGCGTTTCCGGAAATTTCCAGGGAAAACAGAGGGAGTTTGGTGCTCGGCATTCTGTTTGGTCTCTCGAGTTTCCCTGAGTCTGAGAGCTGGATGCTCGTGGTCTGGCTCTAGCCTCTGTCTGGGGCAAAATCTGAAGCAACGTTGAGGATGAATCGGCAAACTACCCGGGTATTTTCCAGTATTCCCAACAAAATACCCGAAAACAAACAATCCCTCTCTCTCTCTCTAATACCCGTAATCCCGTATGCTGCCGATTTTGAAGAAGAATCTCTCTCTCTCCGATTTTGCTGATTTTGGCCCCCAAACAGCCTCAGACTCGGCTCAGAGCCCCCCAAAATGACGATTTCCACGGAGTTTTCCCGGGGAAATAGAGAGGAAAAGCGTGGGTGCTCTAGAAAAAAACCGCTCCGCAACGTCGCACCGATGCTGCCCTCACCAGCGAATGCGTCCTGGCTCACAGCCTGACGGCGCAGCCTGATCGTATTTAGCGCGGCGAGATGGCTCCTGGAGCGTGTCCCAGGCCTGCTCGATCTTCTGATAGAAAGATCTGCGTTGCCCGCTCGTGGCTGTTTCTGTGTTCGTCCGGATGCCAGCGCGTTTCTGCAGCTCTCTGTGCTGGGCCGCTATCTGCTCATGGGTCGCATTCGGCGGAACACCCAGCACTTCGTACGCCGTTGCTGCTGGGTTGAGGATCCGTGCAGCCTCTCGCTCCCGCTCCCGGTCCTGCGTAGCACGTGTGTGAAGCGCGTGGTCGGGGCGGC